CTGCCGCTGCGCTGCCGCTGCTGCGCTGCCGCTGCTGCCACTGCTGCTGCCGCTGCTGCTGCTGCTGCCGCTGCTGCGCTGCCGCTGCTGCCACCACTGCATTCCTGCTGCTGCTGCCACCACTGCTGCTGCTGGGGCTTGGCAGCATCCCACTGTGTCAGGCACCACAGCCTGGCTGTGTGCAGCTCTCACCTCTAGGCTCCTGCAAAAAGATCTTGTTCTATGGGCACTGCTTCAGATTTCCCTAAGCCCAGCTGGAAATCTGGCCTTGCTTCTGCACCATGCAGTCATGGTTTTGGTCTTTACTGCTTACTTGTGTTATAGTGACCCATGTGTACGTGAACATTCAACACTTTTCCCTTCCTCATGTGGCTGTTTCATGTCTTATAACTGAAAGCTTGATTTTGAAATCTCATAAAAGTTCATATAGGCTGACTTGTGAGTACTGAAGTGTTCTGGCTTTGTTGGCATATTCACGTTTATTTAATTAAGCAGTGTGGGGAAACAGGAAAGGTACCAGGTTTTTTCCTTTTATAGACTCCTGACACAGAAATTGGGCAGGCAGTTGTGTGATGATGTAGGTTCATGTTAATTTTTCCAGATCCATATGTGTGGGGTGTGATTCCAGCACCAGATAATTACAGAAGTGGGTATTAACATCAGATGCTAATCTGGCCTTTGCTCTTGTATCTTGACTTCCCTAGGTTCTGTCTCTTCTATTCTCTGGGATTTCCTCTCTGCTGAAATAGATGACACAAATTCATTTTCAGGCCTTTCCAAGAAAAAAATATTCTTCAGAGACAGAATTAAATGTAATGTTTTCTTGTGAGGGTATTAAAAAAGGACAGTCCTTGGCTGTAGTGGATGTTTGGGTGAGTGTCTGTCACGGGTGTGTGGGGCAGTGAGGATGAGGAACCTCACATCTTCTCCTAGTCTGTACTGAGCTGAGCCATGGTGGTAGTTCTGTCTGGAATAATTTGTAATTATGATCTACATGATCTAACAAGGTCTCAGATGTTTCTAATGGGAAATTGAAGGGGTGAGACACTACCAACAACTTCTGAAGAATGAAGTGAAATACTATGGAAAATACAGGGGGTTATAAAATACACCTAAGGAGGTCTGAGTGTGACACTTCAGGCTGTGATGAGTGTTTGCACACAATCTCTGTGCATGTGAACAAAGTTCTGCCCGTTTTCATAATCATGAAAACCAATCTCTTAAATAATTACTTCTGATCAGCGCATTTCTACTTTCTAATAGATCAATAAAAATAGAGCCCAGGCACTTGCTCTTAGTACTTCTGTGTGAGTCCTTGAAAGGAACTATTCATTTTCCCTACCTAGGAACAAATTGTTTCAGAATGTACCTCATGCCAAAAACAGGGGGCTCCCAAAAAACCAGAAAAGTGACCTTAACAGACTTCAGAGAACTGTCCTTTTTCCTCTTCCTCTGTGATCAGTGGTCTGCCCCCATTGAGTTTCTCTGTGAAACCAGATTTTTCAAATCCATTATTCTTCATTAATTACCTTTAGTGTGGACAAAGAGCTAAAGAATCCCGGGGCACACATGACTTTTCACATGAAAAAATGAAAGAGAACTATATAATTGCATGTACTTTTATTTTGCAGGGTTTTTTTAGTAGTATCTTGACTATGAGGTGAAGGTGTTTGTTTCTATTCCAGTAGTTCTCAGTGTTTCAGCAGGTGCAAGGTCGTGCACCGAATGCATTTCAGTCTTAAATATAGCTCACATACATAGTTGATATTTGCTAGGGAGAATGGAGTAAAGAATGTACTTACAATATTTAGGTAGAGCACCAACCTTGGGAATGTTTACAAGTATATCAGTGGTCAGAATCAGCAGCCAGAATTGTTTTGATATTTTCAAGGAAGTAGTATTGGAAGGTGATAGTCAGGGAAATGCAAAGCATTGCACTTTGAGAGGAGAATTTAAAAGCACCAATACTATTTTGGGAATAACTGACTCATTACCCCTGCTGTAGAAAAGGATCAAGGGAGAAGGAATTGAATATGGATCATTATTATCTTTCTGAGATGTGTTAATAGGTAGATCCTGTGAAGGACACGAAGGGACAGTAATTATTTATGTGAGTGCTGCCAAGGCCTGTGATAGAGTGTTTGGCTTTGTGTGCTGTGCTCTGGCTACGCTGGAAAGAGGACAGGGGGTCAGGAATGGGGGAAGTGTTTGGGTAGGGGGTGAGAAACCTTGGCTGACCACAGCAGCGAAACTGGTTGCTGTCAGACCTTCAGAAGGGGCAGAAATCAGTTTAATTTGCAGGAAAATAGATAATATGATGAAAATTTGAGTTTAAGGATGCAGAAGTTGCAGGTGGAAAGTCCTTTATCAGTGGATTTTAAGAGCAGACATGTTTTAGACACATGTAGGTGGATTATGGATAGCTTTACACCTCGGGTGAGCTGGTGACGTGGGCCCATCCCTGTCCTACAGAGGCTCTTTCTGTTTGTCCTTCAGACAGACAGGACTGGGTATCTCAAGCTGTCATGTTCTGTAGCTTTGTGACCATTCTCTCTCTAGGGAGGTTAGTGGGACTGCTCTGCACCAGTGTGGGTTCCCTGCACAGGATGTGCTGTTCCCTTCAGCCAGAGATTTTCACCAGGATCTTTGTGCTGAGTGGCCTCTGTCTGACCATGCTCCCACTGTTCTCACTGCCATTATTGCTGTGTCCAGGTCCATTCCCAGCTCTGCTGTGGTCTGGGAAACCTCCCTGAGCATGGCTTGGGCTTTCTCCTTGATGTCTGTCTCAGCCAGAGCCTGTCCATGCTCTCACTGGCAGGCTCTGGGCTTTTCTGGCCAAAACAGATTTGTGCTCCTGGTGTCTCACAGGCATGGCCCCAGAGCAGCAGCAGGTGTCCTGTTCCAGCTGGGGGTGGTGTGTGTATTGGCTGCTGCTGTCTGGGCATTCTCCTCACAGGGACAGATGAGGCGTCTCAGTGATGTGATTTGCCTTAATGTCAGTGCCATTCTCCCCTCAGTAGCTTTTCCTCTTGTTTATCAACACCTACCTGCAGCTTTGAAACTGGAAGTTGTTTGTTTACACATTAAATTTTGTTTAAAAAATATTTTAGTGAGAAGGTACTGCCTAATTTCTGGAATTGTAACTGACAAATAGCTTTTCATTTTCATATTATACATCCTTTATGCAAAAGACTTGGAGTCTTACTTGTAGATGAGCTGTAAGTTTGATGGCAGTCTGACAATTTTCAGATAATAGCTTGATCTGCACAGTTCTTGTGAGAAAATATTAAGGTAACATAACAGTGAATATAGTAAGTGCTGTGTTGAATGCTTTGCTGATGCAACAAATGGGGTTTTTTTTCTTTTATCCTGAATCATTTTATTTTTTTCCTTTTTTTTGTCATAGTGCCTTTGACTTGGTAAACATTCATCTTTTCCATGATGCTTCCAATTTAATTGCTTGGGAAACAAGCCCATCGGTTTACTCAGGAATACGGCATAAGGCTCTTGGCTATGTACTTGATAGGTATGTATTAGCCTTTCCTGGCCTCTTTCAATCTCTGTGTTCATAAGCAGCATATGAAAGATGTTTCAAATGGCACACTCAGAAATGTAGAGGGTTTTATTCTGTCATCTGAAAGTGGTTACTGTTTGTCAGAGTTTTCTAGATAGTTCTGATTACAGATCACTTCATGACACTTACTCTTTAAAGCCAAATTACTGATCTCGGGAAACCACTCTGGAGTCACCAGAATTGCAGAGTAGGAACCACACTTATTTTCTAAATGTGTTAGGTAGATTAGCTTATTTTTAGACTGTGTGGACCCTAATGAAGCCATTCAAGTGCATCTCCAGTTACAGAATAACAGAATCATTCCAGCTGGAAGCGACCTGTGGAAGTTCCTTATTCATTCCCTGTGCTCAGAGCAGGGCTGGCTTTCAGCAGCTTGTCCAGCTGAGCTTTGAGCAGCTCCAGCATGGTGGTTTGGAGCTCCTCTGGGCCACACATTGCTGTGTTTGACTACCCTCACTGGGAAACTTTCTGTCCCTATTATCCAGCCAGAATTTTCCTCCAAGTGGTTTGTGTCCATCGCCTGGATCTTTTGGCATGCACTGCTGAGCAGAGTCTGGCTTCTTCCTCTCTGTAACTACCAAACAGATAAAGCCAGCAGCAGAGTCCCCATGTAGACAACTTCTCTGCAGCCTGAACAAACCCAAGTCTTTCAGCCTCTCCTCATGGGTCCCTCCACATGGAGCTGGTGTGCTTTAATCTCCAGCAGCTGGGTACAGCAGGCAGTCCAGCATTTGTGTATGGTCACCATAGGTGTCAATATCCATATGGGTTCTAATGGTGTTACAGAGCTCGTTCATCTGGTGAGTGGTACAATGCAGAGGAGTCCCAAAAACACCCAGAAATTTACAGCTGCCCTAATTATATAGTCAGGAAAGAGACAGCTTTCTCTTGAGTAAGAAAAGAATGTTTCTGTGTGGGCATTGTTGTGCTGGCAGAGTAAACAGGTATTTCTCTAAGGAGATGCCAGTCAGCTTCATGTTTGCCTGAGAAACAGAGCTTTAACGTGTCTCTTCAGAGCAGCCATGGCACACACTGCCATCCGTGGCATTAAAAGAGCTTAAAACAAACTGCAGAGCCTGGGAGGAATACAAAAGCAGAGCACTGTGTTCTGTTTTCCTGCTCTGAGCCCCGCTGTCCAGTGGCCATGTGCCAGGCTGCTGGGTTCAGAGGACTCTTTAACAAGACCCCAGCGAGTGTGGGACCACGGCTGCTGTTCGCTGAAGGTGAGGGGCACCTGGCCAGTGTCATCTCTGTCCTTCCCCAGAGTGAGGAATGGGACTCCCAGTCCGGCCAGGGGTGCAGAGCTCCATCCTGCTGCCCCACCAGCCTTTTGGCTGAGGCCACATCTCTGGCAAGGGTCCTGCTGGCTGCGGGGAGGGGAGCACGTGCCTGTGCTCATGGGGAACCACTGCCCAGAACAGTCTGCTGAGCCTCTGCTGCCTGGCATCTGCTCGCTGCCTCCCCGTGCGTGGCACAGGGAAAGGGGTCCCTGTCCACAAGCAGCTCTTCTGGCTCTCTCTGGCAGCAGCCTGCAAGCTACAGACACTCCTGAACAAAACAGTTTATGTGTTGGAAAATATCTCCTTGCTGTTTTTCACTATGTAGCTTTTCACTGGAAAAGGTCCTGAAATGTTGCAGAGGAGTGTAAATGCCTTTCCAGCCATGTTCTTTCTCAAGATTCCTTCCTCTGGGGGTTTTCTGTCCTCTAAGGGTGGGTAGGTGGGATAGTAGAGACTGCCTTTCCCCTAGCAGGAATGTCTCCAAACAGGAATTTACCATCACCTTTGGGATGATCCAAAGGTGAACAGGAAAAAGCAGGTATTGCCTTTCTCTTGCAAAACCTGCTCAAACCATTTGAAAATGCTGGAGGCACTTGGAAGGTTTGCATAGGTAACATACAGATATATATATATATAAATATATGAAAGATCCCTGATTTACAGAACAGGGGCTTGGGAGGATCAGGATCTGCTCCTGGTGCAGTCTGAGTGCATATTCTTGAGTTCTGTTGCATAGAGCAGTATGGGATTTTTATTTCATTTTTTCATGGCTCCATTGGTCTTCTCTCCTTTCCTAATGCTTTGCATTAGGGAAACCCGTGCAAACCTTTTGCATTATTTATTGCACACTTTTTGCAGCATACAGTGTGCTTCATTAGCTAATTTTGGCTTTGGACCTCCCACGATGCCCTGGCAAGGGTAAGGTAATAAGACTGTAGTAAGAGTGTCAGCTGTGGGTCAGGGATGTCACGATGGTATATCATTAAAATGTGACACTGCCAAAACTGCCCCAGCTCGGCTGTCCTTAGAAAAGAAGCCCTTGGGTTTGGGTTGCAGAGTGGCACAGCAAGCTCGCCGTGCATGAATTGTTCATTTTGAGGGAGCAGCCAGCCGCAGATCCGGACCTCCACAGTGCAGTGATGGGCTGGCGGGCACAAAGGGGGAGTTCTGTAGAGCAGTGAATAATGGGAAGCCCCTTTCATCGGCAGGACTAACCTTTTGGCAGCCACCAGCACACTCTATTCTGATCTGCTGATTGGGGAGGACAATACACTGAAGCTTACTTTGAATGAATGCTGCCACCAACAGTGTCCCCATTCAGGGGCTTTGGGAACCATCTTTGGCCATTGTCCCCCAGCACTCCCTCAGACAGCAGGAAAAGGGAAAGTGAGAGCAGCTATAGGGGGAAAAGTACTTCTTTTCTTGGCTTTAATCTCTCTTTAAAGCTTCATAGATCTACATTTCCAGCTGAGCTACTGGAACTATGCAGTGTCAGATAAATACAGAAGAGAGAGGTTTCAAGCTGAGCTTTCAAATCCCCTTATCTGCATGAACTAATAATGCAGATTTAGTGCTGTTAAAAACAGAGACTGGTAAGTCTTTTCCTTTAAAGCCTTTAAACTGCTAAAGAGCATTTAACAGCGATGCAGTTCAAACCCAATGAACAATGCTGAGAAGGAAAACAGTTTAATGAGCTAAACCTTCACTGAATGAAACAGAAACACCTTCTCACAGTTGATTTAGGTCACTGTGGGAGTCAGTGAAAGCTCAGTTGTGTTCACGCTGCATCTTCATAAACATGAGTTATGTACAGCCTTTTATCTGGGCAACAGCTACCACAGGAGTTGGGGATGCAAACCAGAAGAGGGTTTGCAAATAAAGCTCAAATGGATCAGTTTAACTGTTCAGATTGCCAGGGAAGTTTCTATCTCCAAAATTATTTTAGCCACAATTTTTCAGCACGTAAGAAAAAAGCTGTACAGCATCATAGCATTGGTAAGCAGGGGAAAATCGGGGGAGAACCAAGGAAAAAGCATCGGGGGAATGATACAAAGTTGTGCTGGAAGTTTTCTCCTGGGGAAATCTGTTAGTAATCCTAATAGTATGTTTGAGGAGTAGAAAGGTTTGTTCTTTTAGCTTTAATAAAGCTTATGCTTTAATAAAGTTAATCCTGAAGTGATTTAGCTTTAATAGCATTAAAATTAATTAAATAGAACACTTTTAAAGGCAGCTCACTGGTATGTGCTGAGCCAGATTGCATTTAATATTTGCCATTTAGCAAGGGCAAAGATGTGATGTCAGATTGTTGCTTTAAATCCAAGAGGATTGGAATCACACTGTTGTTAAACAAATATTTGCTTGTATCTTTAGAAATACATACACAGAAATACATATGTAGGAAATTGAGGTGTCTGATGAGTGTCTGACAGCACCAGTGCAAACCCAAACTGAGCCCCCAGAAGTCAGTTTCGTTGTTCCAGGGACACACAGGTCTATAGTCAAAGCTGAATTTGCTTTAAAATGAGATAAGAACATTTGCTTTATATTTTGTGGGGAAAAAAAATTCTTCAGAGCCCATTTGGATAATTTCTATGTACAGTTAGCTCCATTTGCATAATATTTGTCTTTTTGTATTTTCTGGAGTTGAAGGGTGTAAGCTGTAGGTGAGACTAAGAGAGGAAAACAGTTTATATTTTGGTTTAATTTTTCACGCATCTGTTGTAACTAATGCTTGTGCGCATTTCATATTAATTAACCATATTGGCATATTAGTCATGTCCTGTAGCCACTCGATGGGGAGAAGTGTGAATGCAGTACCCAGGCTGGGGAATGAGGGAAAAGCTGCAGGATGGGGCCCTTCAAGATGGAGAGTTTGGGAAGGACAGGACATGAGGTGTTGGCCTGATCCCTGACTCTTGGTGTGCCAGCCATCTAAACTTCCTGAAATTATCTCCAGCATTGAGATCCGTAAAATGAGTGTGGTTTTTTTAATGAAAGTGACAGTGCTCTTCTGTTTTCCTATTGAAATGTTCCCTGGCCTAGTTCAACAGAAACATTTTTACATTACAACTGTGAAATCTTGGCATAAAGCTCCCCATTGTGCCCTTCATTATTTTCTCACAAATATAGTCCATTGTCACATAGCTGAAGTTAATTTGATCAACATTGGGACATTTAACTTTTATGTCCGGTCAAAGGAGCTGTTTCATGCTGATTTTGAGTATTGAAAAGAAATGATTGCCAGAAAAATAATGTTACTATTAACAATTCAGAGCAATTAGTTTCCCAGGGAGAGGCGATGTGATGCACCGGCTCCACACAACTATTCTTTGTCATTTTATGGATGCTCATCAGTCAACTGTCACCTCTTCTCAAAGACCCCTCCAATCTAAATGTTTCTCTTTGGGCTTTTCCCAGAACTAGCAGCTGAATGAGCAAAAGAAAAGCCACTTAGTTTCTAGGCAAAGGAAAACTTTGCTCTAAAGATCTGGGTCATTTGGGAAGATCCTCAAAGCAGCTCGATTTAGGAGGGCTTTGGGATCTTTTTGTTTTGGTGTGGTTTTGTTTTTACCTTATTTGTTTTTTGCCACAGTGATTTTAACATGAGCCTTCAAATGAGTAGTGAAATTTCTGTGTATTCAGATAGAAAGCACTCTCAGGGCAAATAAACCT